CGCGGAGCCCGAGCCGGAGGACGCCGGGGGGAGGGGCGGGAGGCGGCCTCCGCAAAGTGCTGTGTCATCGCCGTCCCCGCCGCCGCCTCCGGGCGGGCCCTGACCCTGGCGGGGTGGGGGCTCCGCTTCCCCGGGGCGCGCACCCCTCACCCGCGGGCCGACCCTCCTCGGCGGAGGCGACGGGCGAGGCAGGCTCTCCGAGTTGCCAGCACGCACCCCAGCCTGTGCTGGCTGCGCAGCGAAGGAGAAGAGGGGGCCAAGCCCAGGTATTCTCCGCCAGGGGAACCTTTTCTCCCCGTAGGGACGGGGGCAGGGCTGCTCTGAGGACCCGACCTTGGGCTCCGGCTCCGTCCGCACACCCGGCCCCTAACCCATCCACCCCGTCGGGGGGAGCGGGGGAGGGGCGAGCCCGCGCTCGCGGACGCGCCGGCCCCTCCTCGGAGGCGGACGGCCCGGGGGAGGGGGAGGGGGAGGGGAGGAGGGGAGCGTGTGGGAGCCGCCGCCGCCTCCGCGCCCTCCTCCCAGGCGCTGCCCGGTGCTCGAGCCGCCTCGTGGGGAGGACTCCGGCCCGGGGGGAGGGGGCGGCCTGCGCCTGGCGCGCGGGAACCCCCGAGGGCCCGGGAGGGTGACTTCTCGCCTTCGCCCCTTGCAGGACTCGCTTTCCACCAGAGCCGGACGCCGACCGCCGGCCTCGAGTTGGGGAGGTGGGTTGGGGGGCGTCGGTGGCGGGGAGCGCGGGCTCGGGCAGGTGCTTGGGCAGGGGACGCGCCGGGGTCGGCACCTTGCCGAGCGGACCCCGAGACGCTTGGGCAGTGTTCACTTTTGTCTCATGGGGCCAGGGAGGAGAGGCTCGGGGCCTGGAGGGCTGTGTTTGGGTGGTGGGGCTCGAGGCCGCGGCGGCTAAGATGGCGCCTTTCTCGTTGCAGGTTCCCCGCGGAGAACAGCCCGCGGCGTCCTGCGGCCACACCCTGGGCGACTAGCGCGGCCGGCTACGCCCACGCTGCCCCGCCCGGCTCCCTGCCTGCAGGTCCGGGAGCGAAGGCGACTTGCTGAACTTGGCGGTCGCCCCTTGCCCGATGCTTCGAGCCTGGGACGACTTGGTTGCAAAGGGAGGCGGGGAGAAGGTACTGGAGGCTCTGGGAACATGGCGTTTGCACCGCTTCCACCCTCCTCTCCCTGGAGTCGCAGAACCACTATGCAGCCAATTGGCTCGGAGAGATGGCGGGCGGCCGCCTCCCGGTGGGTCTATGCGGCATTCTTCTGCCTGGTGACCGACGCCTGGAAAGCGAGACCCATGACGTCATCGGCTCGGGTGGCCAATGGAAGAAGCTCCCGCGGAGAGGCGTTCCTCCCCTTGCGTTTCGGCCTCCTCAGGCGCGTGAGCGGGCGAGCGCGCGCGGAGGGGGTGGGGGAGCGCTCCAGCCGGGTGGCGCGCATGAGCGGCGAAGCTCCTCCCCCCTGCCTATATATAAAGGGCTGGCGCCGGGGCTCGGCGGCGCCATTTCGCGCTGGAGCGGAGCAGCCTCTAGAACGACCTGGAGGATTCTGCCAACCGGTACAGAGCCTTCGCGACGTCGGGGGCCGCCATTACAATCCACGTCCATCCGTTTGGAAATGGCCTTCGTCTCGGCCTATGACCGGTCCCGGCGGACAGTACAGACCCTATAGAAGCCCCTGAAGCTCCCCTTTTTCGGGCCCCGCCCAATTCTCGGAGTCTGTCCACCCCCTCTACTCCGCCCTCAAGAGGATTTCAAAGATGGAGGCGGCGGCTCCATAAACCACTTTTCGTGTTCATCCGCCTCCATCCGAGGTCGCATCAGGACCGTGTCCGCACCCGACGGTCCGGACCGGAAGAGAGAGTCCTTGCAGACCGACGGCGGGCTGTATTGACGGCGGTGTCTGGGATCGGCGTCCGTCTCTGGGTTTGGAGAGCTGGTCCCTTCCATATCGCGTCTCTGCCGAGGCCGCCGCCATTTTCTTGCTGTCCGCCGCCTGCAGAGCGCGCCAAGCTGCCGGGAGTCGTCAAGAGAGACCGCCGAGGAGACGCTGTACCAGCCCGGCGGGGAGCTTGTCTGGAGGGCCGAGAGGAGCGGCCTCCCCCCACTTCCCGGGTTATGCTGGGCCGGGCGGTGAGGGGACCCGAGGCCAACCGGACTTGCCGCGGCTAAGGGAGGCGCCGGTTCCCCGTGGTCAAGATGCTGCAAAACGTGACTCCCCACAAGTAGGTCCCTGCGAGCCGCGGTGGGAAAGGGCGGGCAGCGGCGCTGCGATCCCCGGGCACCCGAGCAGTGGACGCCGTCAGCCCGTGGCCTACTGCGCAGCCGTTGTTGCTGTCGAGCGGGCCTGGAAGGGCAAGTCTGGCCAAAGAACGTAGTAGGGACGGGGGACTTATTGAGTGACCAAGCAGGGTTTGCTGGCCTGGTGGCTGGCTTGGCGTTTGGGGCTTTCGTGGCCAACCCTAGTGCCTTGTTGGGTTGCCATGGTGACCGTTCAGGACTTGGCAGCGGGGATTCCCAGACTGCGATGGACGGATCGCCATCCATCCTGGCGTTCCCGCTGCGGGAATTGGTCACTAGATTTCTGCACACTTGAGACAGGCTGAGGGGTGTGTTGTGTAGTTTGCTGGGGGATGCTTTTTGATGGCGTTAAGCTCTTTCAAAGGGCGGGAGGGTGGAGCTAAGGCTCCTTTGAGCTCTTCTGATGTAAACAATGAGATTTCGGCTTGGTTTCTAACCTTAGGGTGCGGGAACACCTGGTCCTGAAGAGCGCCGGAGTGACTGGAACCCTGTAGCGCTCTCAGACTGGGCTCCTAGATGCTGCAGTGTGGGTACCGTTAGTAGGACTGTACTGCTAGCAGGGATCTACGGGGTTGCCGGCCCTAACTGATTGTTGAATGGCTCAATCTTTTGAAGGGCTGACGCTTAATCTAGCCAGTGAAGGCTGCTGGCAAATGTTTCCTGGTCTGAATTTTTGGATGTGTGTTCTTGGTTAGATTGTTAGTTCATTTTCGAATAAGGCATTGTAATTGTTTATTTTCCGAGGACCACTTATTTTACTCAGATGTATTCTTAGCTGTTTTGTCAGCCTTTTACTAAGTTTTTCTCCATACCTTGTTCCCTTCCTCTTTTTCACGGGCTTCCTTCAGGCTCAACCACCATGGCAACCATCAAACCCCTTGTGAGGAGGAAGCTTGAGTTTCTTTCTCAGCTCCACCCGTTTTGCTTAAGATCCATTCCCATAGGGTTGTAGCTCTCAGATGTGCCGTCTAGAGGTTTTGTTTTAATTTGAACAGAGCTAGCCAGATTTTAGAAGGTGGAAACTAGATGAGGTATACTAAAAATAAAACAAAAGGGCAGTGGGCGACAACAGAAGCTCCGTAGCTTGTTTGGATGTTGTGCTCTCGTTAGAGCTGCTTGATTAAGCTTAGTCACCTTACTAGAGCCAAAGCCTGGATTTATTGAGTGCACAGTGCAGTTGACTTTTTTTTTTTTTTCCTGATTCTGTGAGATTACTGGGTCTAATTTTGCTTCCCATTTTTACAGACTCCCTGGGGAAGGGAATGCAGGGTTATTGGGACTGGGCCCAGAGGCAGCAGCGCCAGGGAAAAGGATCCGAAAGCCTTCACTCTTGTATGAGGGATTTGAGAGCCCCACAATGGCTTCAGTGCCAGCTTTGCAACTGACCCCTGCCAACCCACCACCCCCTGAGGTGTCCAATCCGAAAAAACCAGGACGGGTCACCAACCAGCTCCAGTACCTGCACAAGGTGGTGATGAAAGCTTTGTGGAAACACCAGTTTGCATGGCCCTTCCGACAGCCGGTGGACGCTGTCAAACTGGGTTTGCCGGTGAGTAAAGATGGGAGTTGGGATGAGGGGAATGAACAAGGCTGTGTGTGTGTGAGCTGGGGTGGACTTCCAGGTGTAGGTACTGCGGCCCCTAGGGACTTCCCGGCTCTCCCCTGTACGGTAGATAGCCACCTGAGCTCTAGTTTCTTGGTGATTGTTCCAAACACTTGCAATATCTTGGCATCTCTCACTGTGTCCTCCATGTGTCCTTAACTTTTGTGCCCTGGCTCCATTTTACAGATTCCCACCCCAGGTTGGGAGAGGACCACGGTGGCCAAAATTCTTAGCTTCTTCCTTTCCCTCATGCAGCCCATGGATAGCCAACCCCAGAGGTAATGTCACAGGATGGGAAGTTGCCAGAGTGGATGGAAGGCGGGTGGTTAGGGAAAGTAGTAGGGGCCTTCCAATGGGTGTTAATTCTATTCCATTTTCTATTTGTCCTATAGTTTAATTGGGGCCGCAGTCAAAGGGGGCTATAGTCCTTTACATAGGGAGTGTGTGTATTTGTGTGTGTGCGCGCCAGTGCACTCTTGGGAATCAGATTTTGTCTTAGAGAATAGGCTTTTAATTTTTAGTGGTTTTGATGCACAATTTTTTTTCTTCAGGATTATCACAAAATTATAAAACAACCAATGGACATGGGCACTATTAAGAGGAGACTAGAAAACACCTATTACTGGGCTGCCTCAGAATGTATGCAGGATTTTAATACCATGTTTACCAACTGTTACATTTACAACAAGGTAAGTTTTTTTGTGCTTGGTTAGCAGCTGAGGTAATATTTGTGTTAACATTGAAAGTCTTCTAAAAAGTTTCTTACTGGGTCTGACAATTCAAGAGCTTGAAATGGTACTGTTTCAAACATTGGTGTGGTTTTACAGTGCTTCATAATTAAAGATTATATAAGTGGAACAGACTTTACAGTTGGTGGTAATGGCCCTGTCAGAATGCTCTAAAGGTCTTCATGAAGCATGATCTTTTTTTTTTCCCCACCCTCTCATTGTCTTAAACTTGTACATTTTCATCTTGAGAGGCACAGTTTGGGGAGAGTACAAATTAGTGGCTTGGTGTGGGAATATAGCACTTGATGACAGATGATTAAGCAACAGTGACACCCTGGGGTAGAAAATTTGATGGTGTGTATTTTTTGCTAGTATAATATTTGAAGTTTGTACTTTGCATTTTTGTGTCTAGCCCACTGATGATATTGTCCTGATGGCACAAACACTGGAAAAGATCTTCTTACAGAAAGTGGCGTCAATGCCACAAGAAGAACAAGAGCTTGTGGTAACCATCCCTAAGAACAGCCATAAGAAGGGGGCCAAGTTGGCAGGTAGGAAGTATGAAAATTTGCAGATGGAGACCTAAACGTGGGAAAGAGGATCAAACTAAAACTTTTTTTTTCTTTTTTAGCACTCCAGGGCAGCATTACAAGTGCCCACCAGGTACCTGCTGTTTCGTCTGTGTCACACACTGCCCTGTATACACCACCGCCTGAAATACCCACCACTGTCCTCAACATTCCCCATCCGTCGGTCATCTCGTCTCCTCTCCTCAAGTCCCTGCATTCTGCTGGACCACCACTCCTTGCTGTCTCTGCAGCTCCTCCAGCTCAGCCCCTGGCCAAGGTATAGACGGTGGATTTATTTTGAACAGAGGGGAAGGAAAGACTTTAGTCAAATCAACCTGGAGTAATAGGCTCTTGTCTTGTTTTTCTTTGCAGAAAAAAGGGGTTAAACGGAAAGCAGATACCACCACCCCTACGCCTACAGCCATCCTGGCTCCTGGTTCTCCAGCCAGCCCTCCTGGTAGTCTAGAGCCCAAGGCAGCACGTCTTCCCCCTATGCGTAGAGAGAGTGGCCGCCCCATCAAGCCCCCACGCAAAGACTTGCCTGACTCTCAGCAACAGCACCAGAGCTCCAAGAAAGGAAAGTTATCAGAACAGTTAAAACATTGCAATGGCATTTTGAAGGAGTTACTCTCTAAGAAGCACGCTGCCTATGCCTGGCCTTTCTATAAACCAGTGGACGCTTCTGCTCTGGGCCTGCATGACTACCATGACATCATTAAGCACCCCATGGACCTCAGCACTGTCAAGGTACCCACTGCATGGGGCAGATGGGATGCTCAGGCAGTGATTGGAACCTGGGGATCAATAAAACAATATTCACGTATCCTGATGGGCATCCATCTGTCTTTCATTCTTGGTATTTCACCTTCATAAAGTTGTAACAGGGCAGAAATACGTGCTCTGAAATGCGTTCTTTGTGAGGATGGATTTTCCTTGTTAGCAACACTGCTCACAGTTAAGTACTAATGGGATTGAGTTAGGGAAGTTAAAGGGGTGGCAGGCAGGTCAGGGGACACTTGCTGTCACTTAGAAACAGTTTGTGGGGGCGAGTTTCCCTCCAGACATGGGTTTCTTTCTTAGGTGTAGGTAATTCTTCAACTGGTCCAAACTGTTCTGATCTAAATTTGAACCAGGGCACAGATCCTGGACGCTGTCCCCACTGTTCTCAGGGCTCCTTGTGGGGTCAGGGTTGGCAGGGCAAGGTGAGCCTCTGCCTGTGCAGCTTCTGATGCTGCCTCCTTCTGCAGCGGAAGATGGAAAATCGTGATTACCGGGATGCACAGGAGTTTGCTGCTGACGTGCGGCTTATGTTCTCCAACTGCTATAAGTACAACCCTCCAGACCACGATGTCGTGGCCATGGCACGAAAGCTACAGGTGAGCGTAAAGGTTGACATTTAAGCAATACGTGGGTGCCGGGTATGTGAGGATCTCCCAGCTCCTGGTTTTGGAGGTCCCGTTCTATGGTAAATGGCTGTAATGCTAGATGGCTGGGAGTAGTCCGGGTACTCTGTGCATGAGTAGTTGTGAGTCTGTCCGTTTCTGTAGGATGTATTTGAGTTCCGCTATGCCAAGATGCCAGATGAACCTCTGGAGCCGGGGCCTTTGCCAGTGTCTACTGCCTTGCCTGCTGGGCTGGCCAAGTCCTCCTCAGAGTCCTCCAGTGAAGAAAGTAGCAGCGAGAGCTCCTCTGAGGAAGAGGAGGAGGAGGATGAGGAGGACGAAGAAGAAGAAGAGAGTGAAAGCTCTGACTCAGAAGAAGAAAGGGCTCACCGCTTGGCAGAACTACAGGAGCAGGTATTTTGCCAGTGGGGTCCTCTGGGTAAGAGGTCCATGTCCTTGTCACTTAGTCTAGTTTTACTTTATATTTTACCCTTCATCTGACCCTCTTCCTCCCAGCTTCGGGCAGTACATGAACAACTGGCTGCCCTGTCCCAGGGCCCAATATCTAAGCCCAAACGGAAGAGAGAGAAAAAAGAAAAGAAGAAGAAACGGAAGGCAGAAAAGCATCGTGGCCGAGCTGGAGTTGATGATGAGGACAAGGGGTCTCGGGCTGCCCGCCTGCCGCAGCCCAAGAAGAGCAAGAAAGCGAGTGGCAGCGGAGGCAGTGGTGCTGCTCCACTGGGCCCCTCCAGCTTTGGACCCTCGGGAGGAAGTGGCAGCAAGTGAGTTGTAGACTAGGAAGCCAAGAGTGCGTTGATGGTTCCTTTCCCTTTAGTGCTTTGGGGATGCCACCTCCCCACTGGGAGTTACTGAACCTTGTAACTGGCCAGCAAGGGCAGTGGGCTTTGAAAGCTGAGGTCACAAATCCTCGGTTCTGACACTGCACAAGCAGCAATAGATAATATGCGTACAATGAATATGATTGTGTTCTAGTTACTTAAGAAAATGAGTGGCTGACCACGTTTCAGTAGCTAGTGTGCCTACTCTTAAGTCAACATACAGTTTTGTCCTTTTTTACGATGTGTTTTTTATATTTAGTACAGGGTCTTACTACGTAGATCGGACTCGTAGTGGTTCTCCTGTCTTTAGCCTCCCAAGCGCTGGAATTACAGGCTGTGCCATACAGGCTGTGCCACCACGCCTAGTCTCAATCGCTGTCTCAGCGAACCCCTGTGGCAGGGCCTGCACAGCAGGCTGGGGATTGAACCCTGGCTGCTGCGCTCTGCCTAAGCAGGCACTTTAGTACACTGAGCTATCTGGCCAGCCCTTGGTATGGTAAGTTTTTATAGTGCTTTAGGAGATAGAAAAAGATGGTATACCCAGTGGTTTCTGAGCCCCAAACAAACAGTGCTTGATCTCAGATGCACTGTTCTCTGTAACTCAGCTGTTGGCCTTTGAACAGATAGGAAAGGAGGTAGTAGGTTGAGCAGTGGAAACACAGAAGGAGGCTGACTTCCCTCCAGCTGACAATTTTCTTTTCCTTACAGGCTACCCAAAAAGGCCACAAAGACAGCCCCTCCTGCTCTGCCTACTGGCTATGACTCAGAAGAGGAGGAAGAAAGCAGGCCCATGAGCTACGACGAGAAGCGGCAGCTGAGCCTGGACATCAACAAGTTACCTGGGGAGAAGCTGGGTCGAGTTGTACATATAATCCAAGCCAGAGAGCCCTCTTTACGAGACTCAAACCCCGAAGAAATTGAGATTGATTTTGAAACGCTCAAACCATCCACCCTTCGAGAGCTTGAACGTTACGTCCTTTCCTGCCTGCGAAAGAAACCTCGGAAACCTTACAGTGAGTATGAAATGAGCGCTAAGCTCTGCCAGTGGCTCCTGCAGTCCTCTGCAGTCCTTGTGCGGCTGTGAGGACAGCTTAGGACGAGGGCGGCGGGCAGGGCGCAGTGCTCGGAGCCTTCGGGCTGCCCTGGCAACCGCAGTGAATCCTGTTTTCTCCCAGCCATTAAGAAGCCTGTGGGCAAGACAAAGGAAGAACTAGCTCTGGAAAAGAAGCGGGAGCTAGAAAAGCGGTTACAAGATGTCAGCGGGCAGCTCAATTCCACCAAGAAGCCCCCCAAGAAAGGTGAGTATTCACTGAAGATGCTGTACATTGAACTGCGTCTCCTCTTTCGAACAAGTGAAGGTACAGACTTTCACATCCATTGTTAACTTTGTCCCACAGCAAGTGAAAAAACAGAGTCGTCCTCTGCACAGCAAGTAGCCGTGTCACGCCTCAGCGCTTCCAGTTCCAGCTCCGATTCCAGCTCCTCCTCCTCCTCCTCCACTTCGTCAGACACGAGTGATTCAGACTCAGGCTAAGGGGCTAAACCATGGGGCAGGAAGGCTCCGCAGGACCGGACCCCCATCCCACCCTGCCCCTCTGCTGTGATGCTTCATCTCACCCCACCTCCCCCCTCTGTAGGAGAGCCGGCTCTGCAGGGGGGAGGAATACAGGGACCTTTGCTGAAGGAGGGACGTGGAAGAATGATGTGGAATTCCCAGCCAGCCCTGTTGGGAGTGAGCTGTTGGACATGGCACCCACCTGCGCGGTGGGGCGGGACAGGACAGGGTGGGCACAGCAGAGGCCCTGGCAGGAATCACCCGAGGCCATAGCTGCTCTGTGCACTTCTGAGAGGCCCTGTTTTGAGGTTGTTTGTTCTAATTTATTAAGCTAGGTGAGGCTTTTGGGTAGGGCCAAGGTTCCCTCAGCCTCCATGGGGAGGGAAAAAGGTGGTTTTTTGTTTGTTTTTTTTTTACGTTGACTTTTTTTTTTTTTCTACTTGTTTTTCCCCTTTTTCCCTCCGTTCCATTTGGGGCCCTGGGGTTTCATTCATCTCCCCATTTGGTCCCCTGGACAGTCTTTGTCTCTTGATTCTAACTTGTAAATAAAGAAAATATTATTCCAGTTTTGAGTTATCTTGCTAACATTTCTTTCTGTTCTTGAACGTCAGAAGCGTCTGGGTTTTGTTGGCTTTTAGATTTTGCCGTCCTGGGGGTGCCATGAAGGGTCTTAGCAAGTGACAGCCCAGTCTTACCACTGACCCACTGTCACTCTAAATGTTTTCAGAAAAAAGTGTCTTTGAAAAATGAAAAGGATACCTGTCCTGTTTGGCGATTTAGTTTTTAAACTACTGGATTGTTAACTGTGTTCTAGAAATAAATGTCATTGGCCTTTTTTATAAGGTGCCCAAAATAACCATTTTAAGTCTGGTTTTCTGTGATTAACGTGAAACAATCAAATCCCCAGCCTTGTGCTGTATCTCCCAGCCCAGTTTTCAATAAAAGCTACAAGTGGTGGTAATAGGATAATGTCCAGAGAATTTAGTTCTTTCAGTCTGGAGGAGAAACTTACCAGAACAGCCACCAACCGTGACTCACTGTGGTGTGAATGGCACTGTTGTGGGGAAGGAGGGGTGACACCCTGAAAGAGCCCGCCAGGGCGTCTGCTGTGCACAGCAGGACTCGGCACCAAATCCACACCGAGCATTTAGTACATAGTTTTCTGCTTTCTGTCAAAAACCACCAGTTGGTCTGCTTTGTACTGTCAGCCTCAACTCCTAATAGGTGACAAGCAGAGACTTCAGCCTCTAAGTGACAGCAGCTGAGTGTAGAAGGGTTTGAACCCGGGCAGCCTGGCTTCAGAGTCCGTGTAACTGCAGTGCTGGACCTGAAAGGCTGGCGCTGGATAGTGCCGGGAGAGGCAGCCAGAGGCTGGGCAGTAGAAAAGGCGATGGAGCAGCTGGCTCAGCAAGCGACAACAGTGGCCTGGAAGTGGGGCGGCAGTGCAGATGAGGGTGGCTGGTGTGAAAGCGACATAGATGGCCTTGTTTTTAGCTTGTATCAGTGCTTGCCAGAAAAGCATTTAATACCGGGTCCACAGATGTCTTCGAACTTGAAAGACTGGCCTAGAAGGGCCACCCAGAGTCCGGGGAGGAGGAGTGCAGGTCTGCGCTCGTTGGAGGCCTGGTGCTGGCTTGGTGTGCCCTGGTCCAAAGGCTCAAGTGGGTGCAGGGGAAGGCAGCTGCTCCAAAGAAGCAGGCTACCCTTCCCTCTACTGTTTGTTCTGGCAGTAATCCTCCCCCGGGCGGGTCTTCCACACCCTGAACTACGATGAGCCAGTTTAGTTTGGTGTCAACTTGACAGTCCCATCACGCAGCTGTGTTCACTCACTACGCTGCAGGAGCAGTTAGAGACGCTGTACGTCTTGGGTGGAGCTCAGCTTTCCAGTGGCGGAAGCAGGGTGGTCATTGGCAGGGCCACCTGGCTGGAATCCCAACGACCCCAGTTTCTGAGGCACTTGGCCACTGAGGCCTGAAGGCCTTTGGTGCCATCTGTTGGCTGTGTTGTTGTCCATGCCTTTCTCCTGAGGACACATTCATTATACAACCGTTTTACTTCAGGTTTTCTCCTTTATTTTTTTGAGACAGTCTCACTAATCCAGACTGGCCTTGAACTCACTGTAGCTCAGGCTGGCCTCAAACTCGGCAATCCTGTCAGCCTCCTGAGTGCTGGGACTACAGGCGTGCGCCAGCACACCCGGCCCTTCCTTCATTTCATATCCAGCTCTTAAAACACGAAGCTTCACTTTCCTGAAGCAGAGGGTAAGAGGAAGATTGGGTGTTTTTACACCTTGTCTCCCTGTACCCCAAAGCCTCAGTCTTCCACAAGGTCATGTTCTTGTGTCCTTAACCCTCCTTGTGAGGTATTTTTAAACAATTTTACTTATTCCTCTGTAGACAGCTCTTCACCCATAAAGTCTCATGTGTCTGTTTAGTTCCAGGAATATTCCACAGTAATAGTGATGTCTCTTAGCTTCATGCCACTGAACATGGCCAGAAAAGGCCTATCTTTCCCTGAACTTGTCCCTTGGCAAGTTCTTCATGAAACCAGCACTCACAGAGCTTGCTGCATACCACACTTGGGAGCATCTTTAGTCTTCCTAATAACCCCAAGAGGCAGGTCCTCATCATTTTGTAGATGAGGAAACAGACTTTTATTGATAGTGCCACAGCAGCCCAGCAGCTGAGCCAGAGTGGCTGAGGAAGGTTCGCCCCGGCCAGCCGCAGGAGCCGGAGACCCTGCCTGGCACTTACTCCCCTTGCACGTTCCCTCAGCCCCTCATCAGCTCCTGCCACCAGGCTGACGTCGACATGCCTGTTGGTCTGTGTCTTCCAGCTACACCATGGCTCAGGGGCCCGCCTCCCTTTCCGTCCTTCGTGAGCACCTACCTTTAGGATGTGAGATGAGAGCTGTCACTGCCAGTGAGACCTTATGCCATGACCCGCGTGGCTAGCGAGGTCCTGAAGGGGGCAGTGAGAGATAAAGGAAAATCTAGACACATAATAAAATCTGGGACCAGGAGGGACCAGACCTCTCTGATGGAGATACAGTGACAACCCAGCTCAGTCTGCATCTTTATACAAAGTAAAAAGGGGAGAAGCACACAACAGAGTCAAAAGTGCCAGGTCTCAGTGCTTTGCTGAGAACACTGAAAGTGAAACATTCTCAGAGCTCTCTGGGCTGTAGTTTCCAGGGAGGAGCGCCCAGGCTGGAACCCCTGCTGGACTGGCCTTTCTTTCTCTCCTCCTGAGGAGTTCGCTGACCCTCAGGTCAGTCAAGACAGCATCCTCATACTTGCCAACCCAGTCCTAAGCTTAAAGTAGTTTTGTGTCTCTTTATAGTGAGTATGTGTGATAAAGTCTTCGTCCCTCTCTGCCAAGTGAGGCATTGCTGATGTTGGCAGATGAGTGGAGGTGGGAGAGAAGGGGTTTATTCTTCAGTAGTAAGCACTGTGCCAGGTATTTGGGGCCGTGTGAGTGGCTACAGGTGCCCTTCCTGAGTTGCAGCTGTCAGACTCCAGTCATCTGTGAGAATTACTGAGACTCTGAGGTGACCGTGGCCAAGCAGTAAGTACTTTATCTCCTGCCTCTGTGGTGTACTGGAACTGGCTTCCCTGTGAAGGAAGGCAGACTGCAGAAACAAGGATTCTCCAAGAGTGGTTAGTGCCTTGTTCTCCAGTCTAGTTTTTGATTCTTAGCAAGAATTGCTACCAAAAGAAAAAGTTTACAATGCTACCCATCCTTGCCCTCAAGATCTTCAAGAAATTTCTCAGGGCTGGTGGGATGGCTCAGTGGTCTAGAGCACCTACTTAGAACAGGCTTGGCAAAGCACAGGGACCGCGGTTCAATCCCCAGCACCACATGCCAGCCCGCCCCGCCCCCTGGTGGGCTGAGCTGGCCACACACACACACACACACACACACACACACACAAATAGATAAAATTTAAAAAAAAAAAAAAAAAGAAATTTCTCAGAGTTTTCTAAGTTTGCTCATACGCTCCTGACTTTTAAGTAACTCAGGAAACAAAAGCTGACGTGTTGTTATCATCCTAGCAGCAGCAAGGACAGGAATCGCCGCCTCCCCACCAGGAGGGTGGGACACGTCCGTGGTTACCGCGTGTGTCCTGCGTCCTTGATGTGAAAAGGCCCGGCGCTGTCCAGCCCCTGCACCCTGCCCGGTTCCCACGGCAGGCTTCCGCTTGTGCTCCTGCCTTCCGGAGCGAGCTTTCCCACTTGGCCCCCAGCTCCTCGGTGTCTGCTCAGCGATGCAGAGCTGAAACTCCTGTAAGTCTCTGCTCCCCGTTTGAACTCTGCATTTTACTTTGGACCTGTTTCCAACCACCATGACCCAGCCAGCCACTGTCCCCTCACATGCAGCTTCTGTCCAGATTGACCTATGCTGTAGAAAAACAATTTTGGTTCCACCAGCCCAATGAATAGCTAAAGAACTGTTGGGAAATATGAAGGCACAAGAAATGACACGAACTCATCCCACAAGGAGGGTGAAGAAACCACAGTGACAGCTTTTACTCTACGAAGTGGAACCGGGCTGAGTGTAAATTACCCCTGTAGGACCAGTGATATCTGAACTGTGACTACTGGCATGTACAACCCTTCCTCAACACACCTTCTGGCTTGTGCAGGCGCTGCGTCTTTTGGGAAGGAGGAAGCCCGTGGGAGCCAGGCTGGAAGAGGCGGACGGTGGAGAAAAGCGGGGCTGGGAGGTACGCATCGGGGCTCGTAGTCGTCACGTAAGGAGTGTCGCAAATTACACATTGACTCCAGTTTTGATGTTTTTATTTCTTGTTTTCTGTTTTGAGATTATAATAAAGTCTCAGTGAAGGAAGTAAAAGTTAGACAATTTTTGGTGGTACTAGGGATTGAACCCGAAGCCTTTGTGATAAGCTTTACCCCCAGCTCTTTTTAAAATTTAAGACAGACAAAGCTTATTTGAAAGTCTCACCAAGTCACGGCATTGCCCAGACTGGATTCAAATTTGGAATCCTCCTGCCTCAACCTCTAGAGTGCTGGGATTATAGGCCGAGCCACATGTGAATACCTTGACAGTTGAATTTGACGTTCGGTGTACTTCAGGTGCCTGCAGTCCGCGTTATGGCAACTTCTGACTGTAGAAGAGTATTTTCCTGAGCTCACCCAGCCCCTCTCCGAGACGCCTCCCGGCCAGTCGCTCTCTCTCGCAGGACTACTGAGTCCTCAGCACCAACCCCCAACTGCCAGAGCAGTCCCTCGTGTCCGCTGCTCCCCTCCACTGCTGCGTCTCTCTTTGGGGGCGCTTGGGTCGCCAGCAGTCCACAACTCTGAGCCACTTCTTTTGTGCAGTGAGTGCTGCCTCAGGGAGAAGGTGTGGCCAGCTACCTCCTCGCTCTCTGTGCTCTTGCCTCGTGCTTCAGTTCTTGTTTCAGATCATTCCCTGGTCCAAGGGACCCACTCCCTCCTCTTGCCTCCCTCATGTCGCCAGCTTCAGGACAGCGACTCTCAGGCTCTCTCTGCTGCTTGCCACTCCCCCACCTGGGTGCCTAGAACACCATTTTTCAAAGGATA